ATATATATATATATTTCTATTTCTATTTCTATTTGAAGTTCCAGTCGAATTACTATTTTGAAAAATAGTCATTTCTGTATTCTTCCTTACAGTAAATTTAATGGGGAAAAAAACATCTTAATACCGCATGTATTTCACAGTGCAATCAATCATCTTACATGTATTTCTTTTATCATCAACTTTTTGTATCGTTTCCTACTTGGACCATGATTCCAACATTCAAATCATGGGTAGGTCTCCAGTGCTCTGTTACCAGGCCTGTGGCCTGGACAGACATTGCCCCTTCTGATGGTAGCCCCTCTCCACACCTGAGGGGCTCAGTTCCTCCCAGGCTTCCTTCTTCCCCTGTTAATGAAAAGCGGTTATCAAGAAAAGATCTGAACACCTGATTCCCACTAAGATTAAATACAGGTGAGGCTTAATAGCTACTTACATTTTAACCACGGAAAGAACCAGGGAGATCCAGTCTCTGAATGCAGGTATTGTGTGAAACTGGCCAGATCTAGCCTTTTGAAGAAATACTACAGATTGAGGGAGGGGAAGAAAGAAGGGAGAAGCAAAGGGGTTAAGGTTCATTACTGTTCACATTTCACTCTTATTCAAATACTATAAGAAAATGTTTTCTGTATGTGAGGAGGTGAATGCTTTCACTATAATATCACAGCATTGTAGATGTTGTAATATAGTTATTTTTAATAAAAATTGCCAAAAGCACAGAAACAATAGTCAAACTTGCTTTTCAAGACCAGTGCAACTCAGTGTCTTAGCCACAGGTCACTACAGTTCTATGCACTCTGCTATTGGTTCATGACAAGTATAGACGTTGAGAAAAAGTTTGAGAGAAATAATTTTAGAACAGTTTGACAGAATAGCGTCTATTGAAACAAAGATTTTTAAATATTGGATTTGTGTATTTTTTTCTTTTTAAAAATATCCTTTTCCTTGTCATTCTTTTTTAATTTTTTGTATTTTATAAAAGAATGGTATACAATGAATTGGATATTAAAAATAATAATAACTATCCCTTCACCAAAGTTAGTTTGAGAAGTAGAACATAAACAATTTTGTGTTAAATGGAACACTGTCATATTTTGTTGTAATACAAGTGGTACCAGGTGTCAGACATTTAGAAATAAATATTCTATTCATTAATTCAACGTGTGTGTGTGTGTGTGTGTGTGTGTGTGTGTGTGTGTGAATTAGGATAATATTTCCACTATCTGTGTAATCAAATGTCTATCCAGGAATCGATATTTGAGAAACACTATAATTGGGTAATAAAAATACTAGATGATAGAAGATAAAGCAGTTCCAAAAGTTGTTAGAAAGTAACCAAAGGAATAATCTCTAGGCACTGGGGCGGTTGCAGTTTTCAGAATAGCTGATACTGGAGGAAAGATGAGTAGAATCATAAAAAGTAAGAAATCACGAAATCCTACTTCTTCATTTTGACAGATGAGCTCAGAATAAGGAAAAATTGTTGGAACTAAAAAGATGAACTGGTGGGTGAGAACTACAGTTTCCATTATATATACAGTTTACATATATAAATATATCCTTGTTGCTATTTTATCATATCCAGAATCACATAATATTACAGTGAGAAGAAATCATTGCTCTCGTATAATTCAGCTTCTAAATTTTACATATAAGATAACAAAAAACTTAAGAGGTTAAATCAACATGCCTGGAATTGTCCAGTACTTAAAGCAAGAAGACTGGGAAGATACAATCCAAGCATTCTAACACCCATTCCAGTAATTTTCTGTGGCACCATCTTATGGGAGACTTTAAATGAGCTACCACATAAATTCCTCAGGAAAACTCTTGTACTTAGTACGTAAAGCAGTATATTCCCTAAGAAAGAAGCTTGGCTTATATAAATCAATGAAAAAATAAGATTCATTTTAACAAGTTAAATGATTGACCATAGTCATAAGACTAGAGGAATTTTGCCAACTAATGATGATATATCTGGGCGAATGATAATTTTCTAAATTTATGAAAATTAGAGAATTTCATGGTTAGAATAAGCCTTGACTAACCTATATATACACTGCCGAGAACTACTATCTAGTCTACTCACAGGAAGAGTGGCAATGAAAGCAAACTCGAAATTTCTATGTTTTTGGACTCAAAAACTGTGCTGACTTATAAAACCAGAAGTTATTTCATAAATACTCTATCATCCAGGCACCAAGCCAGCCCTTTATTTACAAACCTCATAATACCGTGTTTCCCTGAAAATAAGAACTAGCCAAAAAATAAGCCCTAGCATGATTTTCAGGACGCCTGTAATATAAGCCCTACCCCAAACATAAGCCCCAGTTAAGATTGTCAGCCAGACATGACTGTTTGAATAAATGTAGATTTCTGTACATGAATGAATGAATAAATATAAATTGTTGGAGCTAAAAATTAATATAAAACCCGGTCTTATTTTCGGGGAAACATGGTAACCTGTGAAGAAGGTACTATTATTAAGCCCATTTTATAGATGGGATAATTGAAGCTGGGAGAAGTCAAGTAAGTTGTAGATGTTAGCATTACTTGTACAAGACCGGACTTCAACCTGCTTATGTACTCGCTTATTCCTATCTGTCATACCATATTGTTGTCTAGCTAGTCGGTCAAGGTGGCAGCATAGGCCGCCATGAGGGCCTTGGAGTCACACTGCCTGGGCCAGATGTCGCCTTTACTGCACACTGTGTGACTCTGGTTAGCCTCTCAGTGTCTGCCATTTCCTTCCCTGTAAAATGGCAGTGGAGCTTCGGTGGCAAATTCTAAGTAGTTGGCATGTAGTAAGTACTCAGTAAATGTTAGCTCTTATTACCAAGGTCCACTTATAATGAAAGCAGGCCTCCTGGTTGTTCTGGACACAGCAGAAACAGCTTATTGACTCTACCATCTTTAACTGCCCTGTCTGTAGGCTCTCTGTCTGATAGGAGGAAGGCAGCCCAACTTCAATAGTACTTCTCAAAGAAGTCATATACTGGGGGTGCCAAGAAAATGTGTATACATGACTTGTATTCATCTTTTGTTATCGGTATATACTGAGCATTACAATTTTAATACTGTATTTATTTTCCTTTCTTAAAATGCGTATACGTGTTTTTGGCACCCTCTGTATTTCTCCTGGTGAGGCAAGCAGGCTCAGACATCTCTCCATGCCAGAGCTTGCTTGGAGGCACCAGCCTCTGCTTCTTCCAGGGGTTATCAGTAGAATTTTCTAAACAAAAAAATAGAAATATTTGAAGATGGTAATGAACTTGCAACACTGTAAACCAAATCAATACACACTGTAAGAAACTGAATATCATACTTCTAATCAAGGAATCTATTGTTTAAAGCAGTGGTTCTCAAAAGTGGCTGGACATTAGCTTGAAAAGCTTTCAGGGTTCAGGTGGGAGTTATGGTCACTCAGAACCAATTGCATCAGGATCCCTGGGAATGGGATGAAGACGACACATCAGGGTGTTTGTTTGTTTGTTTGTTTCTTTGTTTGTTTGTTTGTTTGTTTGTTTGTTTGAAGCTCCCCAGGGGATTCTGATGTGCAGCCAACGTTGAGAATCATTGCTTTACTGCTGCCAATTTTTGAAAAAGTGTCCCAGGGCTGAGTTTAGAAATTTGTATTTTCAAAAAGTAACCCAGATGATACTGATGATTATCCATATTGGGAATCACTGGATTAGGACATGTGACACCCCAATAAAATAGCCAAGGGCCTATTTTTACAGTCATGTTGTTTGAGGAATTGCCAATGGAACATTCAGATAGAAAATACTTGGTAATAGTTTGAATTCCAGATCATGACATTGGACATAGATTCTTAAGATCCTGCTATTTACTAATCTATAAACAACATATAAGAGTTGGAGGTTTAAGGTAAAGTTTAAATGTGTGTTTCCTGCTTCTGTTATACTTAAATTATAACCCGTAACACTAAACCAACATAATATGTCTTTTACCTACCAGGTATTATTTTCATATGCAAATTGTATGAAACCCAGGTCTTATACAGAAGAGACTGCACAAAAATCACAGTTAGGTAGCAAGCCAGCAAAAACAGTGCTGATTTATGAAACTTCACTGACTTAGAAATAGAGACAAAGCACTAAATACGTATGAAATCTTATATGGTGCTTACACGTAACTTACATCTTAGTGATTTGTAACTTAGTTACACAGAATAAAATAATAATCTAAGTACATCAAAACATATGGAATCTTTCAAGTATTAAGTTTCACTAATTTTTGGTCTTATTTTATTTTGAGTTATAAATAAATTATGAATATGCTGTAAATGGTTGACCACTGTTTAAACCTCCCAAAGAAAAGTAAACAAAGATTTCATCAACAATATAAAAGAGTAACTATGAACAGAGGTTTTCATGAAAATCTTCTCTGATTGCAATGTTTTAAAAAAGTGATAAAAGCTTTTTAAAGGCACAAAAATACAAGTGAAAAGCAAATAAAATTATGTTATTCATCGAAGCAACATCATAACCTATCATGCAAACAGAGTAAAAATAACAGAACAATCTGGGCCATGTACTCTTTGGATTAATCCATAAATTCAAGAAAGAATGTGATAGCTAATACAATAATCAAGGGAATCTTAAATTTCACCGAATTACCTTGCCAATTTTGGTTCCAGTTTCATAATATAATTATCTCAATTTTATTTATACTAATGACAGCTGCAGAGTTCAAAAACAAACACTAGGTCTACAATCCACACTTAAAGTGAAAAGATTAAAAACATTTCACTGGTGAAATCTACCAATTCAACCCAAGGTCTATTTATTTATTTCAGATACACTGGTTCTTTAAAAGAAATATAATTCAATTAATTGCTCAAGATCCATTCTTTTTAAATCCTTTTTGTACCCTCTGTTGTTTTTTTCCTCCAGTGTGCAATAAACCACAATTAACCACAAGTAGCTCTGGAACATAGTTCTGTTTTTTAACAACTGTTAAAGGACTTGTTTAATTAGAAAAAATGTGCAGTCAAAATCTACTTACTCTTTTGCGGGAAAGGAGTATGTTTGTTTTTAAATGGCCTTAGTTTACCTGTGACACAAATAAATGCTCAGAGATAATGTATCACCTCCATTAAAATGCTTTTACTGTTCTTAAAAAAGCAAGTGTGATGCTGGGCTGTATAAATAGTAGTTAAGCATTAGGAATCTGAGGTGACACATCCAGCATAATACTACACTGGTCAGGCCCACAGGAGCACAGATTGTTTAGATTCAGAGATTTAAGACAGAGAGATGGAGAGCACTAGGAAAGATGAAAGGATTTACAAATAGAACCTATAATGAAAGCCTTTGACAAAATGAGATTATTCAGCAGAGGATTTTTGAAATAATGGTTCTCAAGTACATGAAGAGAATGATATCAGTGGATCTCCATCTTTATCGAGGATTAAATAAGCAAAAGTGAGATTAAACTTTAGGGAAGTAGACTTAAGTGAAATATAAGAGAATTTCCCAAATGGGTTATATTTTTTAAAAGAGCACATCGTCATCACCAGGGTCTGTGGGATTTCCTTCCCTGGAGATATTATAAATAAGGCATATATTTCCTTGTTCAAAACGTTTCAGCAGTGTCTTACTGGGAGAAACAGTCAACTACCATAGAATCTCAGGATAGGAAGATCATGTTTCCCAACCACTATCTATTGCTATAAAATATATTAAAAGTGGAGATTTAATATGTAGTTATGAGAATTAAATATTGAAACATTAAAAACATTTTTATGATCTGTAGTTAAAATATGCTTCATCCCTGCAAAATAAACTAAGGAACATGCGAAACTATCCTCATTTAGTTAACCAAGAATTTTCCACAAGCCCTGATGACTAAATTGCTTTTTTAGGGATCTTATTCTATACTTATGTGTAGAGGGAGAGCCTGCTGTCTGAAGGACGCATTAAGATGTCAGCGGCTTCCCAGCTCTCACTGGACCTGACGTAGGAGTCCTTGGATAAAGACTGGCTCTAATTCAAGGAGTCAATTCATGGAACCATGTACACTGTGAGGCAGGCATACCTTCAACATGTGGCCCTCTCATCACAGTTCCCTCTAGCCACGTGGGAGAGAAATGGACACTGTTACTGCCCCATCCAGGAAGATAAGTGGCAAATAAAGAAGATCCTGGAGCAGGTGTCCTCATAGACCAGGTTCTGCTACCACTTTTCAAAATTTTCAACACCACCTGCATCCTGTATATATAAATAGCTATCATTTATAAGGTTCATGTGATATGCATATATAAAACACTGTTACTAATGGTTACTAATGGTTTATATTCATTCTACTTATTTAATCCTCACAATCCTAAGAGGTTGGTACTACTATTGTCATCCATTTTACAGATGAGGAAATGTTGCCAAAGTCATTTGTCCAAAGTGATGCAGATATTAAGCTATTGAGCCAGGATTCAAACCCAGGCAGTCTGGCACCAGCGTGTGAGTGTGAGTGTGTGTGTGTGTGTGTGTGTGTGTGTGTGTGCGCGCGCGCGTGCTCGCGCACGCAAATCCATAACATCAAACTGCCCCTCTGTAGTTGGATTAAATTTACAGGAAATAAGAAATCAGCTGTTTCCAAGTACTCCTGATACTTGGAAACACCACTAATCACTATTTTCCTAGCCCCCAAACACTGAGCAGAACCCTCCAGAATTAGTGAAAATAAATTATTACTTTAAAAATATATAATTTTCAAGAAATAACATAATAGCTTATTGTCATAAATTCATTTATCCACTGACAAAACCTCCTTTCTTATGTCTACACAAGGAAGAAAACAGGTTGACACTAATAAGCTGTTTCTTATTATTCATTGTAGTTTATTTGAAACGAGAACTCATGAATTGAATTGATAAGAAGTAAATTAACATACAAGGATATGAAGCAGAATGTATTTACACAAAAAGTGACTGTTGGTGAAGTAAACTGCTAAAGTCAACAACAATCACAAGTAACATTTTAAAAGACAAATTACTAGAAGGTAGTATATAAAATATACATTCATTATATTTGTTTAGTCTCTCTTATCCCTGACCTTGAGTTTATCATAAATATAACCTTGATTTGGAAGGGCCTAGCAGACATGGGAAAATCAGGTTACAATTATAACTATAGTGGCACAAGCTTACATTAAGTCCAAACATTAGCCCCATCTCTAAGTGTCCCACAGTGAGCTATTTCTGACAATTTCTCAGGTTACTGGTTTCTGTTTCTTATACAATCTCCTGCACATCCATTCACTTCAGCCTCTCCATCAGTCACCATGGCACAGCCTCTGCTCCCACTAATCGTCCTGGGATGGCTTCTCCGCCGTGACTTGGTGCCTCCACCATTCTGTCTTCGGGGAGGGGATATGAGCACAGGCTCATCCTAAATTCTTGATACAAGAGCTAAAACTAGCTATAATTATCTTAGGTTTCATTTTTATGAACTTCATGAGTCAAGGACAATGCAAGTTAAGGCCCAGGGCCTGCCCAAGGTGAGGGGTCTCATAGGAGACCTTCTACTCATTGAATTGGGACCTAAAAAGCTCTCTATCTTCAGAATCCTAATGGTGAACCTTACGTAACCTATGGACAGACCATAGTAGGGAGGGATGACTTGATGGTAAGCATAGCAGACAGCAGAGGAAAATAGTGTGAGAAAGGGGGTATGAAAGGGTTGAGAGGAGTGGATTCCTGAGAAGTGGTGAACTTTGCATAGTCCTATAGTCTGGGGTTATACATATCACTGGGTAGTCTGGGAAAACTTAAGCGCTGTATATGGTTTAAGGTGCTCCCATACTAAGCAACTCCATATAGGAGTCAGAAGTAAACGCTCTCTGGGTGAAAACATTTTCATTCTAGGCTTCAACGAATCCCCTCAAATAAGATTTCATATGCCATGAGAGTGCATAAACATAAGCAAGCACAAAAGAAAAACCTAGCCTGAGCAAGTAAAATGAACAGCAGTTACAGATTCCCAAAACTTCAGACATTGAAATTATCAGATATATCTGATAAAACAGCTATTATAACATGTTTTAAAAAATAGTTTGAAATAGGAATACATTTGAAGATATTTTTAGAGAATAATAAACTCTAAATGTTGCCCCAGAATGATTGAAAAAGAACTGAACAAAATGTCTTCAAATGAAAAATACAGTAACTAAAATTAAAAACTCAATAGAAATGCATACCTATTAGAATGGCCTATGTCTAGAACACAGACAACACCAAATGCAGTGAGGATGTGGAGCAACAGGAACTTCCATACATTGCTGGTGGGAATGCAATGGTACAGCCACTTTGGAAGACGGTTTGTGGTTTCTTGGAAAACTGAAGATACTCTTACTATATGATCCATGAATCACAATCCTTGATATTTATTCAAAGGAGTTGAAATTTTATGTCCATACAAAAGCCACCACATGGATGTTTATAATAGCTTTATTCATAATTGCCAAAGCTTAGAAGCAATTAAGATATCCTTCAGTAGGAGAATAGATACATAAATTGTGGTACATCCAGACAATGGAATATTATTCAATTCTAAAAAGAAATGAGCTATCAAGACATAAAGGAACCTTAAATGCATATGACTTAAGTGAAAGAAGTCAATCTAAAAGGCTACATGCTGCAGGATTCCAATAATATAACATTCTGGAAAAGGCAAAACTGTGGAGACACTAAAATGATCAGTGGTTGCCAGGGGTAAAGGAGGGGAGGAAGGGTAAATAGGCAGAGCAGAGAGGATCTTTAGGGTAGTGATAATACTCTGCATGATATTGTAATGATTGATACATGTCATTATACATTTGTCCAAACCCATGGAATGTAAGACACCAAGAGTGAACTTGGAGTCAGGGTAAACATGATGTCAATGTAAAAAATGTACCATTCTGGTGAGTGAAGTTAAAAATAAGGGAGGCTATGTATGTGTGGCGGCAGAGGTGTATGGGAAATCTCTGTACCTTTCTCTCAATTTTGTTGTAAACATATAACTGCTCTAAGAAAATAAAATCACAGAAAACCCCACCTCAATCGACTGTTTTTATAGCCCAATAGACTCAGATGAAAAGAGAGTAAAGGAAGCTGGAAGACAGGTCTGAAAAAAGGGTGCAGAATGCAACATAAAAAATATATATATATTTTTAAGGAAACTATGAAAAACAAGTTCTTGGAAAATAGAATGAGAAGTGTATTTTAAGTTTCATCAGAGTTCTAGCAGGAGGAGAGAAAAGTTGACAGGGAATATTTGAAGAGATAATTAATGAGAATTTTTTTCCACAACTGATGAAAAACACCAATCCACAGATTCAAGAAGCCAAATGAATCTCAGCATGTAATTACTTAAAAAAAAATACCACACCTAGACATATAACGGTAAATCTGCATCAGGAAGAAAGAAACGGAAGGAGAGAGAGGGGGAGGATGGGAGACCTTAAAAGGCAGCTAGAGAGAGAAATGTATTATCTTCAAATGAGTAACTTCAAAGGAGGCTGAGTTCTAAACAGCAACAATGAAATCCAGAGAGGGAGAAAATGATGGTCTCAACTGACTGAAAGAAAATAACTGACAGTGTGGAACTGTACACCTAGCAAAAAATCTTTCAAAAATGAGGATGAAATAAAAATATCAGACCAAAAGAAAAAATAAAGAGTTTTTCACCAGCAGTATCTTGAAAATGTGTAAGAATATACTTCAGGCAGAAGGCAAGTGATACCAAATAGAAGGTTGAAGATGCAAGAATAAAATTGGAGCAAAGAGAGTAATACATAGGTAGATGTATCTAAATGAACATTGATTCTATAAAACGATAATAATGTGATTGTGGAACTAAAGTAAAGGAAGGAAGGAAGGAAGGAAGGAAGGAAGGAAGGAAGGAAGGAAAGAAAGTAGAGAGGAAAAAATAATATCTGGCTATTCTATGTCAAGAGGGGATAAATGAAGTTAAATGACATGAAGTTAAATGACATAAATTAACATGAAGTTGAATGACCTTTATAAGCAATGTATCTAATACATACAGTAAGGCGGAAACTAAAA